GTGTGTGTGTGTGTGGGGGGGGGGGGGGTGGGGGCTCTGCCATGAGCAAGTTTGGCTTAAAGACACGTCCCAGGGGCGTTCCTGGTCCCAAAAGGCGTTTCTGGTCCCCACCTGTTGTTTTGCTCCTCAGCACGGCTTCCTAAAAATGCTGCAGGATTTCTCAAACATGCATGAATGAGTCAAAGCAAGGCTTAGGCATGTTTTTTTTATGAGAGTATAACATTATAACATGATATAAAACTCAAAAAAGTTGATCTTACATGATATTGCCCCTTTAAAAATCGAACTGGTATACTGCCCAGTTTTACATGTCATTATTTATTACACAAATAGAGCTAAAATTAAAAAAGCTGTGAAAAAAGTCCATCCATTAGCTTGTGAAACCATCTTAGCAGCAGTAACTTGAAGTAGTTTTTTTTTCTTTACACATTTATTAGGGTCTCACATGGTTGTGGAGGAATTTTGGGTCCACTCGATTTATACCATAGACGTTTGCAGACTTTTGTTTCTGCACAGTCAATGGTCTGCGCCATTTGGTAACCAACCTTAGCGGAAGGTTTTCAGTTTCGCTGCGGTTAGTTGCAAAGGCTTGTAGTCTTTGATGCTTGAGTGTTGAACACACTCAAATAATGTGTGCGATGAAATTTCTTCTGAAATAGTTGCAGAGTCCTCTCAGGCATCTTGAACTTGTCTGAAGTGAGCCAGAGCGGGAYTTCTACTCTGACGGTAAAGATCTGAGGCTAATGTTCAGGTCTCAGTTTCTTGCATTATTAAAATTATTGTCAAAATCTACTTATCTTCGTTTGAAAAGTGGATTCAGTCATGGCTGTGGGGACAGCTGCCTAGGAGGATGCGATGTGGGTTGATATGCACAGGCTAATGATATGCACAACCTAAAAAAAACAAGCTGTGCAGACCAAAAATGGCCACTCAAAATGTCTCACTACTCACTTGATTGGAATTCAGTGAAACAGAAACAAAAAAAACCCTACATTTTCTTGCAGTTTTGAGTCACTGATTTGTCTCTAACAGTTGCAGAGCTTTTAAATCAGMTGGAGGTCTGGACTTCAACTGGACCATTGCTGTTTCTTGATTTTTTTTTCTTTTTCAGACATTATGTCATAGATTAGCTACTGTTTAGGGTCACTGTCCTGTTTCATGACCCAGTTTAGCCCAAGCTTCGGGTGTCGGACCGATGGTCTCACGTTTGACTCTAGAATAAATTAATCTACAAGGAAAATCGTGACTGACTCAGTGACCATGAGGTGTCCAAGCCTGTGGCTGYGAAACAAGTCCAAATCATCACCCTTCCATCACCGTGTTTGACTGGCATGAGGTATTTGTGGGAAYACAGAATTTCCCAAAAGTAAAGTTTTGTTCCACCTCTCATTCAGCGCAAAAAACACTCAAAACCTTTAGCTGCTGAAAAGTGTGGTACACTCCTTTTGATTGACAGCTAATTTCCGAGAAAGAAGCTGTATTGTTCTGTTTGTCTACATGGTAAAACAAGTGTTCACTGCAATTCAGTCCTGACAGAGGAAATAATTTACAGTTATCACCGGTTGTAAGAGATAGAAAGGGATTTGTTCTCAYTCTGGATAGACACAAGTCTGTGTTTGTCTTCAGCACGGAAGCAGCAAAGCAGAGCTCGACTCGAACGCACATTACAACCCATAAATCATTTCCATCCATCCTAAAAAAACTCCTCTTCCTCCCTCCTGTCTTCCCTTTCTCATGTCCTGCCCTGGTACTGGACCCGCTGCTCAGGCCCCCTGCAGCAGGCAGGAGCAAAACGATTGGAAAAGAGTGCAATAAATGTGATGGATGTGGGCCAGCGCAGGGTTTAGCTCCAGCTGTCAGACATGTTTTTTGTCATTTCAGGCAGGCCTTATGGGCGTGTGCCCCTCCTCACCCCTGCTCTTCCAGTGTTTTTTGAGTTTCAGGGGAGTTTTAAGATGGATACGTTCCTAAAAGTTGCTGAGCTTATGGGTCCAGATCAGCGGCTGACATCACAGAGAAAACTGAGATTACATTTTTATGGGATGAGCTCTTTACTGGCATTCAAACGTAAAGCCGGTGATATCATGTGTTTTCAATAAAGGCACAGGTGGTCTAAGTTGGATCTCCTTCAAATGAGCGTCTTATAAATCAATCAGCTTTTTTTATGATGCGCATATATTTTAAAAAATAAATTCTTCTGTTCCTTTCTTTCAGGCTCGATGACATGATGTTCCTACCCTTTTCCCTTCCCCCCTCCACCTCTCTCATTCCTGTTTTCCTCCTCCACCTCCTCCTTCTCCCCCCATCGCTCATCTCCTCCTCATTCTCCCACCCCCCTCTGAGTTGGACTTCACCCCATGAACCCTGCTACCACCCAGATGGCCGTCCTCGACATTGCCTGTCGGAGTTCATCAACGCCGCCTACGGAGTCCCGGTCAATGCCAGCCACTCGCTGCACTCGCCCAGTTCTGAAGGCAACATCACCACCTTGACGGACCTGAATAACCCTCACAACCTSACCTGCTGGAGGGCTCATGCTGGCGCTGATAAGGGGGACTGGGTCCTCACCTTACCGCTGGGCCGTCGCTTTGAGATCACCTACATAAGCTTGCAGTTCTGCAGCCAAGGAGAACCAACGGATCCCATCTCCATCTCTATTCTCAAGTCGATGGATTACGGGCGAACGTGGAGGCCGCTGCAGCACTACTCTAGCGACTGCCTTGGGAACTTTGGACTGTCCGCTCGGACCGTTGCCCAAACGAGACACCAGGAGACTGAGCCCCTCTGCTCAGATCCTAGACCACTGCAGAGGCAACGAGGCGGCACGGTGCTYGCCTTCTCTGCTCTGGATGGACGGCCATCTTCTCCTGACTTTGATTACAGCCCGACCCTCCAGGACTGGGTGACGGCCACGGACATCCGAGTGGTCTTCCATCACGTATCCAATGACGTGGGAAGCTTTGATAAAATGAAGGACACTCATTGGTTTGATGGTCCCCACGATGCCGGAGGAAACGGGTTCCTGAAGTGGAGATCGGAGATAAAAGGCCACGCTGGAGATCGAGCGGACAAATTAAACAGAGATAACACTTTGGCATTTTTTGACAGGGAGACAAAGGTGGACCGGATGGACAAGCAGAGTCGAAAAAACCACCGTAAAGGGTCCAGTCAAGACGAAGATGGACACAATGTGACAAGCAWGGAAGAGGAGGGTGGCTTCGGCATGGACTTGGTTCCCTTGTCAAAAAAAGGAGTAAAAAGTAGAGGGCGCGGTCGCGGTAAGGAAAACAATTATTGGACCCCTTGCCCAAAYGGAGACTGTAACTGGACAGTTGAAGGGCGGAGCAGGAGCAACAAAGGGCGGGAACTGAGGAAGAGGAGGAACAATAACGTCAATGTGCGTCAGAATGTTGGGAATCTGCAGGCGGCGCCGGCTGCTTTTGTTTTTCCAGTCCGCGCTCCCGTGGCTGTCTCYGACCTGCAAGTGGGAGGCAGGTGTAAATGTAACGGACATGCTTCCAGGTGTCGCCGTGATGACGCCGGTCGGGCAGCGTGCGTGTGCGAGCATCACACAGCGGGACCGGACTGTGATGTTTGTGAGGATTTCTACTTTGACAGACCGTGGCATCGAGCCACACCCACYAACCCAAACCCATGTGTTGGTGAGATTCATTTAAATTAATGAATTATTTAATTTTGTAGGTTTTTTTTTTTACTAATAGGGGATTCAAAATGATAGGGTTCATGTTTTAGAACACTAAAATAATCCTATAAAAATATATATTTGTGTTTGGTTTTGCCAGAAATCCACATTTAAACTCGACAAACYCAAAAATGATCATAGATAAGAGCTAACAGCTGTTTTCTTACTGGTTTTGATTTGTTTCTTCTCTTTTTTTTTCTAAGCCTGTGAGTGTAACGGCCACTCAAACAAATGCCGTTTCAGCATGGAGGTGTTTCAGCAGTCAGGTCGTCGGAGTGGAGGAGTGTGTCTGAAGTGTCGCCATCATACGGCCGGACGCCACTGCCAGTACTGYCAGAACGGATACACCCGCGACCACAGCAAGCTGCTCAACCACCGCAAGGCCTGCCAACGTCAGTCTATTTACGTGTGTGTTTGTGTRTGTACTTTGTGTGTTGGGTACCACACCCATTGATCCACTGGATTGGACGTAAATACGTTAGCAAAAAACCTACAATAAAAAGTTTCCAGACTGCTTATAGATTTATCTCTTGAGCAAATACATATTTTTTACATTTCACAACATCGGTAATTTTCTCAGCTTTCATTTAAGCCATRTTTTATAGAAATTGGATAAGAAATGAGGGTGCTATGAATATTTTTGTGACAGATTGAAGCGTTTCCCGCATTGAAACTCTACCATTTTGTTGACATGACTCAATGCATAGCAATGGCACCTATGACGGCGCATTGCTAGCTATATAGCGGTTATAGGCAATACCCATTCCAGTAATATAGATCAATGACCCCACCCTTCAGGCGTTGCTGTGAAGACGTGCTGAAGTGGGGATGTCTGAAATGGTARGAGATTCTTAAAAAAACAGAGGCCAATTTCAAGGAGTTTAGAAAGACTATATTGCAGTCACTTTTATTTTTGATATAAATAATCATTTTCATAACAACTGAAGTTAACATAGTTACTTGATTGTGGTACATATTTGAACTATGTGCCTGGAAAATAGACAATACCCACCTTTAAAGTGCCTGTGTCCTGCTTTTTCTTCACTTAGAAAAAAAATTAAAGAAAATATCCTAATATTTAGGAAAATTGGCATCATTCACATGATTTTCACCCAGTTTGTCCCAAAACGTGCATATTTTTACGCTGAATTTGGTGCAGTCCAAGTGAAACAGGAAGTGATATCAAAGGGGAACGCTTTAAAAAAGGGCAACTTCCCAGTCTTTATAAATCACTCTTCTTTATCTATCTGATAATGACTCAAAATAATCTACAGAAACATTTGATTCTTTGCAGTCTGTTGTTAGCCATTGTAACAACTCATTCAGGCATTCCCCTCTGACATCACTTCCTGTTTCTGCTTATGCAAATATCTCAACAACTGTTCATTTCAGTGTCATGAATTTTGGATTTCAACTCATCCATAATTTTATCTTTCCAAATATGCACTCAAATATATCACTAATGTCACAGGTCCTTTAAAACTTTCAAAAAGTGATCACAACAATCACAGAACATCTACAACTGTTCTGGAGTCAACCTAATTCAAGATGGCTGCCACAGCTAACCTAACAAAGCAAACAAACTAAAAAAAGCTATGGCTCAGTCAATTTTATAGACATTAAGCTAATATTTAATGAGGTCGTAGTTCATTTCTATCACAAATTTTAAATGCTGGCAGAACAGACAAAACCTCGTATTATGGAAGCGCAATCAGACACTTTGATTTTATCAAAAAAAAAAAGGCAAAAAAGCTAAAACTTTTCTTTTAAGATCTGATGATCCCAGTCTAAAATCTGGTATGAGAGGCAGTGGGTGAAATRCATTCCTTCAGGTAACACTAGTCCTTTAATATGGCGGCAATGAACAACTATTCCTGTCTGGACACAGACACACACACACCCGCAAAGCTGCCACCAGTATCATTACCACTGCTTGGCATCTGCTACGACCCCTGACCTTTGACCGGTCAYGAGTGACTCTGACACGACGGCGTGTTTTATGTGGAGACTTGACCTCACACAGTCAAAGTTAACGGACTCGCTGAGGTTATGCAGGAATGTAAAAAAATAGCCAAGAAATATAAAAAAAACTATCATTTGAAACTGCTGAAATACACGAGTGCTGTTTTATGCTTTAGCTTAACCTAAYTGAAACTATATTTCATGAAACAGCCGTTCAGTGACAAGTGGGGACATTATTCTTCATTTTCTCCCGTCAAGCAGTTTGGACTCATTAAAAAAAAAGGATCTGAGTAAACATTATTCGAGTGTGACCAGAGCTGCTGAAATGTGGTTTCCTCTCCTCCATCTGTCGTCTCTCATTTAGCCTCATTCTAGGATAGAAGGAGCTCTGCTGTAAAAACTATGACAAATCTGAGCAGTTAGTATTATTCTGCTGCGACACAACWGGCGCTACAGGAAATAAATCTGCTCAGACGAGGCATTCGTCTTCATTTGGTTGAAGGTTGTTTATCATCTCTAAATGCACAGCAGCAAAAAGAATAACATGTTGGTGATTTGTTATTTATCCTACCCTTGYGGAGCGAATTTGTCTTCATTTACACATCGAGACGGGTACGAAATAGATTCACCGGTATGCATGGGACATACTTTGTCTAGCTCAAGGACAAATGCCTCCTGGCGTCCTGGATTAAACCCGCCTCACTTGTGAATAGTCTTCTTCGGCCTTTGTTTTGCCACTTTATTATTAGAAATTTGAACCAACAGGCAGCTACATCGTTGCTTCTATAAAACTAGAGGCTCTAAGAATCTCAAGTCTACGTCGATGCGCAAGAAATAAATTATTTAGTAGTGCAAAGCAAAGATAACATTTTTTAATTGCRATTAATCTCATTATTATGCACTTAAATTGTGACTCAAAAATGATCAGAGAATCTGCGTACTTTGATTTTTTCATTTCAAAATAAAATTGCAAAAAGAAAATTATGTTTCTTTTGTTTTGTTTTCTGTTTTAAAAACCTAAATGTAAAACAGAACTAAWTAAAAATCCAGTGTCTGATTTTTACTTCAGCTTTCTAAACCCAAAACAAAATGTACGGTTGTTTTAATAAGTAGCGATACCGGAACCAATGGAAGTGGCAAAAGAAGAACGGTTTATAGTGTCTGGAAGACTGCTTAAAAACAGAAACTATTCCTAAACGCATTGGCAATGGCTGCAGTCGAACCCTATTCTGCATAATTTGGAARATTAAAGCAATTTTATTCATGGTRAGATYATCASCTSTCAATGAGATGCATTGACTCCCTCTAAAATTAACAATACTTGAGAAGTGAAAACRTGACGCTCCGGAAGTTCAGACCATGTTTTCCTGTTCTGCCTGAGGGTTGGTCCAAATAGTGCACTAACAAAATATAAAACTTGGTTTAACCATTAAAATGAAAAGAAAAGGTAAACTTTTTAAATTATTTGCAGTTGTTGTTTTTGTAATTTATTAAACAAGATTTTTTTCCTCATTTTATTTTGAAACCAAATCCCAAAGAACGAACCATACATAGTGCATTTTAAAGGTATTATTTTATACAGAAAATAATTCAGTGCATTAGAGCCGGCTGTTGAGGAACTGCTCCCAAAGAAAGCAAGTCTCTTTCAGCTCCTAAACAGCTCTTAACTTATTATCATCTGTAGCCTCAAATTTTAGCTTAACTTAGCAAACATGAATGTCAGAAGCCGTATAATTGCTCAATTGTTTGTATTTGTTCTGTTACAAAAGCAGTAGTGCTTCTCAATTCCGGTCATTGTGACCCACTATCCTGCTTGTTTTAGTTGTTTCCCTGCTTTGGCACACCTGATTTAAATGAATGAGTGATTGGCAGGCTTCTGCAGAACTTGAAGACATGCTAAAGAACGGAAACAATTAAAACATGCAAGATTGTGGGTCACGAGGACCGCTGCTGTTGTTCAAAATTTTATTCAAACCTTTTATTTTTATTTAATGGATTGAATATGCTGGGTCATTGAGGAGACGGACAGGAGCTCCACCTAATCGTCACGTCTGTCCTCCTCTCTGTTTTTATATGTGATCCCATATCGGGGTGGGTAGTCCTGGTCCATGAGGGCCACTATCCTGCATGTTTCACTTGTTTCTCTGCTTTAAAACATCACATTCAGTTACTGAACTACCTCTTTGTGTTCTTCAAATGCCAATTAATCCCCCATTTATTAAAGTCAGGTGTGTGCAGCAGAGAAAGAAGTGAAGCATGTGATTGGTCACAAGGCCAACAAAATCAAAAACAATTGGGGAGCTGACACTTACTTGATGGGAGTCAGGTCTTCTGATGCTCTTAAAGGCACAGTGATTTTGACAATTCTTTTAGCCAAAATTGAGATAATCACTAATGACAATAAAAAAACATGTCTAATCATTGCAGACGAAGACCTTGTTTTATTATTTTTACCTTATAAAAAGCTGTTTATATCTCCATGGTCGCGGGTCGCCACTACAGGCAGCCGCCATCTTGCACCACCATCTTGTCTACGAAGGCTCATGAAGGACAAACTGCGGTGGCGGCGTCAAAAACGATTTTAGTTGTAATACCATAAATGTAATATTTGTTGTCTGTCATTGTAGCTGGGGTCATTTTACTTATTAAAGCTCATAATCTTACCACTTGAAACATCACTAGCCCTGAAGCTGCTGGTAGACATCGTTGTTGGAATTATCAAAGGTTTTTGACACCTGAGAGACACCGTAGCAACTCCTTTGTGTTTGGAAGCGGGGGTGGGGGTGGGGGGAGGACCAGGGAGGATGATTCAACCACTCAACCACTAGATGTCGCTGAAAACAACAAATCCTACACACCGTGCCTTTAAAACTCTACTTTGTAAAAAAAATTAAAATTGTTTGGTTTTTCTGGTGACCCCGTTTGGTCTAAAAGCTGTTCTTAACCACTATTTTCAATGAAGTCAAATGCAAAGAMGTTGTTTTCTTTTCCCAGCATGTCAGTGCCATCCTCTGGGGGCTGTGGGTCATTGGTGCAACCAGACATCGGGTCAGTGTCTGTGTCGAGAAGGAGTGACCGGCCTCCGGTGTAACCGCTGCTCCCCAGGATACAAGCAGGGCAGGTCTCCTCTGAGGCCCTGCGTAAGTAAGTTCACTACGTCGACTCCATCAGCTTGAAATCGGRTCAAGGGAAAAAATAGCTTTAGACAATTTTTAGGGTGATAGTCTCAGTTTGTAAAGAACTCATTGAAGCACCTTCAAATGGCTCACTGTGATCACCATGGTAAACACACACCTCTGTTTGTCACTCCCTGACTTCTAAGTTGAYTACAGGCAGAATTAACGCAGCTGGCTGAAAAGGTAAACCTCAAACAATGAGTCAGATCTCAGAGTATTTAGAACCGGAGCAGCAGAACACTTTAATAGTCATAACATCCTCCCTCCAGACCACAAAWTGCTTATTTTATTGCCTGCTGGCGTTGCTGTCAATATGATGGTTACCTCTAATTTTTCATTCAGCTTCTTCAGGTCATGTCCTGAATGCTTTAAACCTTCTGCATGAAGCTTTTAAAGCCTTTTATCAACTAGCTTGGTATTAAAGGGCCCACTGCTCTTCGGGCTAATTTAGCTCAGTCATTCATCATGCCTCCTTTTCATCATCCCCTAGAGACGGTTTCCACAGCAGCKCTAACATGAGCCGACCGACACAAGGAAACCTCATCTCACGCTGGTCAGAGATCAGTGTCGGATCAAAAGCATCRCTGCACCTCCTATCTCCGCGAAAAAAATCAGCCATAAGCGATAATCCACACGCACAGTCCCAACAAATCGTACAAGTGCCGACAACTACATGGGCAGCGCCGCTTTGTAAATCTCAATCAGGTGATATAAGGAGCCAGAAGTAGGCAGCTTGACACCTGTTACGCAGCTCAAAACGCCCCCAACGGCGGGGCTCAGACCCATAACTCTCCCAGTGAAAGGAGTGAGTGAAAGACAACCTTGTTTGTTTTTACTGCCAGACCATCACAGGCTATGTATAGCATCTGTCTACCCCCCAACCACCACCGCCACCACCTCTAGCATCTCAGCTCTTCTTCTCTCAGACACACACCAGAAGCTATAGAGCAGCTAGGCTAAACTTCCAACATAAGCTGAAAGACTGCAGACAAAGATCAGTTTTTACCTGCAACTAGACTTAAGGTATGTGGATTCATGTTCAGTTTTTTTACTTTGTTCAGTTCAGCCAGCAAACAACTAATGAAAGAGAAAACAAGCCAGCTGAGCAGCTAGTTGCATTTAGCCCTCTCAAAAACAATATTTTACTTTACTTACGTTATCTTAGTAGTAGAAAAAATACAAACTTAGTTCAGCTTTGGCATCAGGATGGGGGATGTAGTACTAAATTAGCTGAGGAAAAGCCATTGTATCTGGATCTCTTGGATTCGGTCCAGTAAGGGCACAAACCTTCAGATGGCTCAAAGTTTGTGGACGGGGCAGCTATACGTTCCAGATTACATAAATTTTGTGTTTTTGAAATGGATCCATCCATCCATCCATCCATCCATCCATCCATCCATCCATCCTCTTCTGCTTCAAAACACTTTTGGCCAGCTTAGGCAGAAGCTTGAGCAGAGAGGTCCAGACCAAGGGCTGGGCAATAGTTTCAAAACAATATGTCGTGATGATGATCAATATCAACGGATAGTTTGTCTAATAGAATGATGATCAAATCTCTGAACTCCAAACCAGAACCGTGTGGTATTCTGGGGGATGTAGGCAGAGGAAAGGTTTTAGTCACTCGACCTCTCAGCCCCGCTCAGCAAGGTTGGTGGCATCCAACTCACTCTTATGTAAACTTGCAACAATCTGTTGTGAAACATGTAGCAACAGTTTCATGTTTTGCGTCGTGTCTTGTTTCAAATAGATGAAAACGAAAAACTAATTAATAATTATCGATATCGACTGATATGAAACACTTTTATCATGATACATTTTTCAACCATATCTCACTATCCAGACCTCTCTTTTTACAGCCACCTCTTCCAGCTCTTCTGGAATGATTACAAAGTTTTGGTAGACACAGTCTCTGGGTCTTCCCTGAGGTCTCTTCCCAGTTGGACACACCTGGAACATCTCCCTAAGGAGGCATCATTACCAGATGCCTGAACCACCTCAGCTGCTTCCTCTCGATGAGTAGGAGCAGTGGCTCTACTTCTCTCCATCGTCATTGAACTTCTCACCCTATCTCTAAGGAAGAGTCCAGCTACCCTGTGGARAAAACTCATTTCGACAACCTGTATCCGCAATCTTGAGCTCTAGGTAAAGAGAGAGCTTCACCTTACAGCTCAGCTACATCTTCAGCACAAGAGACCGTTACAGACACTGTCAATCTAACCCAACACCTCATTCTTCCCTCGCTCGTGAACAAAACCCTGAGATACTGTAACTCCTCCCCTTTAGGCAACACGTCAGTCCCAACCTAGAGAGGACAGTCTATCTGTAACAAAACAGATTTACTTGAAAATACGTGTACATGGAAAGACAGCATCTCCCTGTCTTTTAAAATGTGGGGGTGGGGGCTGTCTGTCAGCTTGGAGGTGTTGGGTATCAACAGCCCAGTTGGGTCAAAGAAAACAAGCAGGATGAAGCCTTAGCTTATAAGGTAGAACTTTTACAAGAGGCCTGGATAATATACGTTCACATAACCAAGTAGTTAATTTTGATTCCTCAGTTTCACTGGCCCATACCCCTCACATGTAGGGAGCGCCTTCACAAAACTCTGTTTAATGTTTGAGGCAAAACCATACAACCTCCTGGTGTATGGTCTTACACTATTAAAATTACTAGAAGCAAAGTTTATGTGTGTTTGTGTTCAACGAGCCTTGCAGGGTGTGCTTTTACACCATAAAAGGACCACACACTCACTCCGTTTTGACAGTTGCTTATCTTCTGCGCTGACATGCCAATGTACCACGAGGAGTTCAAACACAACACCTATAAAACACAAGTGCAACAACCCGACAGGTAGCCTGAAGGTTTCTGTGCATCTGACACCTGTTTGAAAGTCTGTTTATGCTCACAGGAATTCAGGAGGATGCTCCAACCCCAATGTACCAACCTCAATACAGCATTGGTGAGGGAATTTACCATTTTTTAATTCTGTTTTCAATAAATGCATGATGGAGTTTAGGTTTAAAATAACATTTGATAGTATCATCAAAGTTTTTTTTTACTTGCTAAACTATTTGTGGTATATATATA